CTAATGCTCCTAATTTTATAAGAAATATATATAGACAATAGACACTTAAAAAGAGGAAAGATACTGAAATACACAGGGATTACTTCTGGGTTTGTGGGCTCCACATCCAACATGGGGATTGAACTCACAACCCAGAGATCAAGTCACACACTCTACTGACTGAGCCACCCAGGCGCCCTTTGTTCTTTGTTTCTTTCTTTTTTTTTTATGTTAATACTTTCTTAAAATTTTTTACATTCTCCCAAATCATCATGTATTACTTTCATAATCACAAAACTATATGGAGTATTTTTTTTAAAGATTCTCTCTTTTTTTTTTAAGATTTTATTTATTTATTCATGAGACACAGAGAGAGAGCGAGAGAGGCAGAGACACAGGAGGAGGGAGAAGCAGGCTCCATGCAGGGAGCCCGATGTGGGACTCGATCCCGGGTCTCCAGGATCAGGCCCTGGGCCGAAGGCAGACGCTTAGCCACTGAGCCACCCCAGCATCCCAACTATATGGAATATAAAAGCAATTTGCAAAGTCTTCATGGTATTGAATGTAAAAACTGAACACAAGGCTTCATCAAAATCTGAGGTTGACAAGTAACTACATAGGTTTTAAAATATGGTTTAGAGTTGAAAAGTGCTTTTCAACAATCTTTCAAGGTCCTCACCATATCAGAAGGCTGCAGGAAAATAAGAGCGAATTCTTTTCTTGCCTCTTTGGCCAAATTCTATGGCTTCTAGGAGATTCGGCTCGAATCATTCCTTTCCAGGGTCTTCCCTGAACTGAAACCATCCTGAAGTCTCTCCAACTATCAGTGGCCAACACGAACCGTGTTGGGGATTATGGTTAGACCGAGAGATCTTGTCACACAATCGGCTGACACACACCTCCTGAGGCTGCAGACATTGCCAACACTCAGAATCCTGTGACTGACTTTGGAACGACTGCATTTATCATTTTGTACGTGTAAAGCCAGTAGGGGAAAAATCTAAGTATCACATCCCAATTCACCAGCGGAGCCTGATTAGGCGGACCGTTGAGACCACGCGCCACGTCTTGGGGTATGCCTCATGGAAAAACAAATATTCAAGCTCTAAGATGATCCTCATCACCCTGGACAGGAACGGATCATTATCCCCGAGATGTACATACAGGAAATGATCTGCTAGCGTGGCATTCCCTATTTCCCTATTCCTACTGTGATACAGAGGGATTTTATACGCAGCCTGTTGGGAAGGCTGTTGTCACCATGTTCTGTGTGGCTCCATCCTGCAAAACCAAATCTGGGACTCCCCCAAATGTCAACTGCTACAGCTTAACGTTCTACAATCTATAAATGACTGAACTAAAATAAGTATCAAATTATCATTTTCTAAAGCTTTTAGAGACAGCTCGGCGTTATTTAAAAAAAAAAAAATCCATACAAGAAAAAGACTCTATACAAGGAAGGAATGTGAAGTGTTTAAGCCCTGGAAGTGTAGGTACCTTCTCAGCAACTTCCTAAAGCATTTGCTGAAAGCTTGCACTTGAACTCAGAAATTTTTTTCAAGGCCAACAAGCTTCTGTTCGTCCTCCCCAGAGCTCCTCATCACACCGCTATTAGCCTCTCTGCTCCCTCTTTGTTTCTTTCTTTTTTTTCATGTTAATACTTTCTTAAAATAGTATTAACATAATACTATTTTACATACATACATAATACATACATACGGGATACATAATAATAGGATGACTTGACTCCCAAGTCATCCTATTAAATTGCAAAGTGCATCCCTAACCCAAGCTCTTCCTCCTGAGATGAAAGCACTTTGTGGGGTTAGTTTTACAGCAACCCCAGTCGGCTCCAGTGGTAAAGTTCACGTGGGTCACTGCCCATAATGAAGCCGTCGGTGTGCCAGTCATGGCCCCTCCAGATTCCCCACTCGTGCCCTGTGCTCCTGCCACGTATAATTAAGCCGAACGGGAATTCAGCAGATGGGAGCCACACACGCTGAGCCAAGTCCTCCCAACAGCTCTTAACTGTTTCGATCACGAGTCTGTTAGGGGGAAACCAGCGGCCAGACCTTGGTTCTGGTCTTTTGTACTCAGCGCCGGTCGGGGGGCCCATGGGGAGTCAGCCTTAGTGGCCCCAAATTGAACAACAGCGCTGCTCATGTAGGAAAGCTGGAGGGGTGCTGCCTAATTCTTGTAATCCTGTTCAGGGCCAGCAGCGAGCTTCCAGAAACGTAGGGGGGTTGGGGCAGCAAACATCATCCTCAGCAAGTGTCCTCAACCTTATGGCAAGACAAACAGACGGACTAACAAATATACCCCGCCTTTCAAAGAAAACCCTCCAAGTATCAGGAGAGAAGATGCTGGAAATAGTCCAGGTTGCAGGGAAACCGGCGTCAGGGCCTGTCGCCCCCCCACCCTTGGAGAATCTCAGCGAGGCAGGGAGGACAGTGCGGAGGATCTGCTGGGAAGCAGATCACGACCTCCTCGCTAGAGGTCCTTGCTTTGTTTTTTTTATATATATATATTATTTATTTATTTATTCATGAGAGACATACAGACAGAGGCAGAGACACAGGCAGAGAGGCAGAGGGAAAAGCAGGCTCCCTGCGGGGAGCCTGATGCGGGACTGATCCCGGGACCCCAGGGTCATGACCTGAGCTATGACCTGAGCCGAAGGCAGATGCTCAACCCCTGAGCCCTCCAGGCACTCCGAGGTCCTTGCTTTGATGGAACAACTGGAGGTTGCCCGGCAGGGCCTCCGTACTGAGCCTCTTGATCAGAGATCGCCCCCCCCACACACACGCACACACACGCACACACACACGCAGGTTCGCACTGCTGTCCCATGCTCATGGCAGTGAGCGCGCCTGGCAGCAGGAGCACATTCAGAGAACGTGGACGAGCAGCTGTGCACCCGGAGCCTCAGATCTTATCCCCAATCTGTTGGAAGAACTCTCAGAACATTCTACCCTGTTACTTCTAAAATCCCAGGCCCCTCAGCCAAGCTCCTGCTGGCTGGGCCCCGAGGAAAGGAGGAAAGGAGGAGGAGGAGAGCGTGGCCGCAGGTTGGGGCCGTGCGGCCACCCAGCGAGCCCAGGGGTGGGGAGGCCTGAGCTGGGCCCGGGCCTGGCCCGCCCAGAGCGACACCCGCAGAGCCTACCTGGGGGTCCTTGCGGCTCGACGGTCTCACTTCGCGGGCTGCCCCGCAGCTCGGCAGCTCCCCACTCTGCGCACAGTCCAGGTGCACCAGGTCTCGGCAGCGAGAGTGACAGACGTATCTGCCCCCTGGAAGAGAGGGCCACGGTTCCTGGTCAGCTCACGGCGCCTGGAGCGCGACGGCCCCCAGCCAAAGGCGGCTGGGACCCTGGGTACCGAACCTGTCTGTGTGAGAGGCCCACCGGTTCTTTTCTTTTCTTTTTTAAAAAATATTTTATTTATTTATTCATGAGAGACACACACAGAGAGAGAGAGAGAGAGAAGGAGAGAGAGAGAGAGGCAGAGACCCAGGCAGAGGGAGAAGCAGGCTCCATGCAGGGAGCCCGACGTGGGACTCGATCCCGGGACTCCAGGATCAGGCCCTGGGCTGAAGGCGACACTAAACTGCTGAGCCACCCGGGGATCCCCCAAGGCCCACTGGTTCACAGCAGTGTGTGGGGCCACTTAAACCTGGCCTGTCTTGGCCCTCGCTGAAACCTAAACATGATATGTTGGTGAATGTATTCCACAGAGACAGATTAGGCTACTAGAAATATATATATATAATATGTATAAATAAATAATATATATATAATATATACATAAAAGTATATATATAATATAATATGTATGTTATATATACAATGTTTCAATTGAGAAACATTGTATATATATACATTCAATATATGTATATATATTTACATACATATAATATATATAAAATATATGTATAAAAGTATATATAATATATATAATATGTATATTATATATATATAACATTTCAATTGAGGTAAAAAGTCACATAATGTACAATTCACCACGTTGAAGAGTAAAATTCAGTCTTTTTTAGTATATTCATCATGTTGTGTAACCATGATCAAATTCCAGAACATTCCATCGCCCCAGGAACAAATCCCTTACCTAGCAGTCCCTCCCCATTTCCTTCTTCCTCTAGCCCCTGCCAACCACAAATCTATTTTCTATGGATTTGCCTTCTCTGGACATTCCCCCACCCCCACCCCAGGACATTTCCTATAAACGGAATCCTACAATCTACGGCCTTTTGTGTCTGGCTTCTTTCACCCCGCAGGTGGTGGCACATATCAGAATTCCATTCTTTCTTTATTGTTGACTAATATTCCCTTGCCTGGAACGGCCACCTTGTGTTTATCCACTTGTGAGTTGATAGACATTGGGTTGGTTCCAGTCCTAGGAATAGAATTGCTGGGTCATGTGGTAATTGTTTAATTTTTTTAGGAACTTCCAAGCCATTTTCCAGGATAAACGTCTTTAACAGAGCTTTTCCAGCCACATTTACAGCACATACAGGAGAAATTCTGCAACTCTGTTTACCGGCAAACAGAATCCTCACAGTACTGGTCTAGGAATGGAGTCCATTACATTATGAAGGACTGAAGGCGCCTGAGCATGAATAGTTTTAAAGTAGTTTTATCTTGGGGTGCCCCGGGTGGCTCAGCGGTTGAGCATCGCCTTCCACCCAGGGCATGATCCTGGGGTCCTGGGATCGAGTCCTGCATTAGGTTCCTGCATGGAGCCTGCTTCTCCCTCTGCCTGTGTCTCTGCCTCTCTCTGTGTGTCTCGTGAATAAATAAAATCTTAAAACAGTAACAATAACAAAAACAAAGGTGACCTGGAAGCCAGAGCCTTGAGAGTCAAACTCAACTAATTTGCAGAGACTTATTTCTCATGCTTGTGCACATTCTTTTTTTTTTCCAGGTTCATAATTTATTGTACAAATTGAGTATCACATGATGAGTTGACATTAGCTTCTCCAAGCATGGGAACTTAACGATGAGGTCCAAGTTAAAGTCCATTTATGTTGCTTTCACAACTGGTGTTTTTTTAGACCTTAATTTGAAGTATAAAATCATCAAAGCAATGCCTCCATATGTGGCCAATAGACAATTCATTCTACCTGTGAGAGTATAAGAGTTGAAATATTTTTTGATGCCAGTGAAATGGAATTGGGCATTAGTTTCTGGACCTGCCATGATTTCAATCTTGCAAAAGGTAGCAAATTCCACTGGTTGTGTCCTTCAACGTTATGCAGCTAACCTGCTTGTGCACATTCTTAAATCCGTGCAGAAAATGCTAGTGCCTCCTTCACCCCAGGGCTTGTTGAGACTCAGGCTCAGCCCTCAGTGGGAGGAACGGGTACGAGAAGCAATCCTCACAGTGTGGCAAGTGCTGTGACATTATGGTGGGGACACGGAACTCGTATGTGCCCATGCCTGGAAGCTAGTAGAAGCCCCGGCTTTCCCTGGCGTGCCCTGCACCCGAGCACCCCCACCATCCTCCTTCCAGCACCCCCCCACCCCCAAGCCCAAACACATTTTCCATCACTTCTCAAGAAAGATTTGGGAGGGCAGCCCTGGTGGCTCAGCGGTTTAGCGCCGCCTGCAGCCCAGGGCGTGATCCTGGAGACCCGGAATCCAGTCCCACATCGGGCTCCCTGCATGGAGCCTGATTCTGTCTCTGCCTCTCTATGAATAAATAAGAAAAATTAAAAAAAAATATTAAAAGAAAAATTTGGGAGCTGCGGACTAAAGCTTCAAAGTCCTTGCGTCCTTTTAGGAAGAATCTGAACTGCAAACATATGTCTTCGATATTTATAACTGGTCAAAGTAATGCTGGAGTTAATGTTCCATCTATTCTGGAAAGTTTGACCCACTGGGCTGTCCTGTAATAGAGAGAAGCTGCAGGGCTCTGTCGTCTGCACCCTTCATTTATTTTATTTATTTGTTTTAAAGATTTTCTGTATTTATTCATGAGAGACACAGAGAGAGGCAGAGACACAGGCAGAGGGAGAAGCAGGCCCGACGCAGGGAGCCCAATGCAGGACTCGATCCCGGGTCTCTAGGTTCAGCCCTGGGCCGGAGGCAGGTGCTCAATCGCTGAGCCCCCAGGCTGCCCTCCACCCCTCATTTAACTCAGGAGAGACGTGCCTGGTGGGAAATAAAGGGCACTTGTGAGCAAACTCGGATGGGAACCCAAAGGGCCGACCGGGCCCCTGCTGGCCGCAGCCTGCAGGCCTCCCAGCTCCTCCCCTCCCGCAGCCCCGGCGCCTGTCCTGGTGGGGGGACACAGCTCACCTGCGGCCGAGGTCCTTCACCTGCAAGTGTCCGCGGGGCCCCGTGGGTGAGGGCCCGGCTGACCCAGTGACTCGGGGCTCCCCGCTGCCTGGCTCTGCCCCGGGGGCTCTGGAACATTCTTCGTGGGGCCCGGGTCACCGAGACCTGCCGGGGAGCCTCTCCAGGCTCAGGGGCGAGGGGCCTGCGCAGCCCAGGCAGCTGGTGGCCTCTGTCAGCCCCGCTGGGCCTCAGAATGAGGGGACTGGGGTCCCCAGCCCGCTGAGCGCCGGAGCGTCCTGTGAGGGGGGCTGCAAGGGACCCTGCACTTTTCTCCTGATGAAATTTACATTGGGAAGCCCCTGGCCGGCTGCTCAGAAGAGCTTGGGACTCTTGCTCTCAGGGTCGTGAGTTGGAGCCCCACGACGGGGAGAGAGATTACTGAAAATAACGATAATAATAATAAACTTAAATTTGCATTTGTGAGCAGGGTTCGTGACTGATTGGAGTCATGGTTTTCAGCTGCTTCCAAGGAAGCGCACTCCACATGGTGAAGCAGAGCATGATTCTCAGTGTTGGGGGGAAGGGACCACTTTTAATAATGACCATCTAGGCGGGGAGACTGGGGGGCTCAGCGGTGGAGCGTCTGCCTTGGGCCCAGGCCGTGACCCCAGGTCCCGGGTTTGAGTCCCAAGTCGGGCTCCCTGCGGGAAGCCTGCTTCTCCCTCTGCCTGGGCCTCTGCCTCTCTCTCTGGGTCTCTCATGAATAAATACAGAAAATCTTTTTTTTTTTTTTTTTTAAATACAGAAAATCTTAAAAAAAATAAAAATAGGGCAGCCCAGGGGGCTCAGTGATTTAGCTCCTGCCTTGGGCCCAGGGCGTGACCCTGGGGTCCCAGGATTGACTCCCCCATCTGGCTCCCTGCATGGAGCCTGCTGCTCCCTCTGCCTTTCTCTCTCTTTCTCTCTCTCTCTGGGTCTCTCATGAATAAATACAGAAAATCTTAAAATTAAAAAAAAAAATTAACCACCCTTGCGAAGAAGGAGGCAGCCCCTTAGCACTTCCAGCCAGGGGCTCGAACAGGCATCCCCTCTACTCTTCTACTCGCAGTGACACTGGAGCCGCCCGGCCTGGGGTACCCCGCATCTGTGGGAGCAGGGACCTGGGTGCCTGTGCCCCCTCCGTGGGCCCTCGTCCTCTGCGGGGGGACCGTGACCCGGCTCGGGGTGCGGGGGCCTCCCCCGCAAAGAGCAATGCTGCGCCTGCTGCTCCTGCTGCTCCTGTCGCGGGGCCATCAGGTCACCCCAAGATCCCTGGGGGTCCGTGCTCCTCCCGGAGCCTTAGTGCTGGGTGACTCTGGGACAGACGCTGTCGTGGGTCCCCAAAGGCTCCAGGCCACCTGTGCTTCGCCTCTCAGGGCCAGTGATACGCTGCTTGCTTTTCTTTCTTCCTTTCTTTTTTCTTTCTTTTTCTTTCTTTCTTTTTCTTTTCTTTCTTTCTTTCTTTCTTTCTTTCTTTCTTTCTTTCTTTCTTTCTTCTTTCTTTTCTTTCTTTTCTTTCTTCCCTTCCTTTCTTTTTCTTTTTCTTTCCTTCTTTTCTTTTTCTTCTTCCTTCCTTCCTTTATTTTCTTTCTTCTTTGTCTTCTTTCTTTCTTTCTTCTTTCTTTCTGTTTTATTTATTTATTTATTTATTTATTTATTTATTTATTTATTTATTTTTATTTTTTTATGATAGTCACAGAGAGAGAGAGAGAGGCAGAGACCCAGGCAGAGGGAGAAGCAGGCTCCATGCAGGGAGCCCGATGTTGGACTCCATCCCGGGACCCCGGGGTCACGCCCTGGGCTGAAGGCGGCACTAAACCACTGAGCCACCCCGGCTGCCCTGTTTATTTATTTTTTATTTTTATTTATTTATTTTAAATATTTTATTTATTTATTCATGAGAGACGGGGCGGGGGGCAGAGACACAGGCAGAGGGAGAAGCAGGCTCCCTGCAGGGAGCCCGACGTGGGACTCGATTCTGGGACTCCAGGATCTGGCCCTGGGCCAAGGGCAAGCGCTAAACCGCTGAGCCACCTGGGCTGCCCTGTTTATTTAATTTTAACCAGAGAGAGAGGCAGGGACACAGGCAGAGGGAGAAGCAGGCTCCCTGGAGGAGGCCGACACAGGACTCGATCCCGGGACCCCAGGGTTACGCCCTGAGCCCAAGGCAGACGCTGAACCGCTGAGCCCCCAGGGACCCCTGTGGCAGGTTTTCTATACCCTACTCTTTTAAACCTGCAGCTTAAAATCTAGTTGTATTTCATTGCATACGATTATTCAGTCTAGAAAAATGCACAGCGAAGTAAAAATAAAAGTCACCCCTGAGGCTGACTGTAGATTTCCGCTCAGCTCATGCTCTCAGGGCCTGAGATGGAGCCGTGCTGGGCATGCGGCCTGCTTCAGATTCTCTCTCTCTCTCTCCCTCTGCCCCTCCACCAACCCCCCTCTTTCCCTTGCTAAAAAAAAAAAAAAAAAAAAAAAAGTGACCCCTGCTGCACTGTCTCTAGATGGCACCTAACTTTCCCAGGAACCCTATGAGGGCATTACACAGAGGGGAGCGAGGTTCAGGGGGGCAAAGTGATTTACAGGAGGACAAGCCTGGAGCGGCGAGCATCAGACCCCAGCCCGCCTGACCCTGAGCTCCTCCCTTAGCTCTCTTGCCCCACGCAGACCCCTATCTGCAGTGTTACCAGCTGCCGGCAGGCCCACCGCCCCACCAGGGCTCAGCTCCTGGGCCTCCCGCCCTGTGAGCCAGCAGCAGGGAGGGAGCAGGGAGGGATGCAGTGAGGTGAACCTGCCCTTTGCAGGTCCTCTTCTGCTTAATGCTGAATGGAGGTTGTCTTCGTAGCCAGTTTGACATATAAAAGTTATTTCCAATTTCCTGACATCAGACTAACAAAAGAATGTTCCTTTTCCAGTACATTTCAAAATGTTTTTTTTTTTTTTTCAATTTAAGCAAGCTGTATGCACGACATGGGGCTTGATCTCACAATCCTGAGATCAAGAGTTGCATGGTCTACCGGCCAAGCCAGCCAGGCACCCCCGCCCAACCCCCCCCCCCAACCCACAGTGTGTTTTAAGAACCCTGCAAAATCATCCATTTGATGTGATACAGAGTCCTGCCCTAGTTAGGAGACCCGATTTCCTCTACTTCTGGCTTTTCCAACAATTCCCTGTGTGACCTTGGAAAATCCACTGAGCCTTTCTAAGTCTGTTTCCTGAGCTGAAGTTGGATTAGACCAGTATTTCCCACTGGTGGTAGACATACCATGGCGGTACCTAAAACAAGAGTTTTAGATTTTTGGTAGTTAGGTATTAATTTTAATGTGTAAAAAAAATGTTAGTACATCACAACAATTATTTACCAGGTATCGCTTTTTAGGATGATGCTAAATAAAAAGGACGAGTTATTTAGTAACCAGTATTACATAAACTCCAGTAGAGGGTTACCCAGGCAAGACAAAAATTGTGACAGTGGCCTGTGAATGAGTGAAGTTTGGGAAGTGCTGGATGGAACACAAGAGCTGAGTAAAGAGTAAAGAACATTTACTATGTACTGGGAACCTTGCACTTTATATGAATTTTTTTTTTTTAAGTAGGCTCCAGGCCCAATGTGGGGCTTGAACTCTCAACCCTGAGATTCAGAGTCACATGCTCAAAAGAAAAAAAAAAAAAGAGTTGCATGGTGTACAGACCAAGCCATCCAGGTACCCTTGCATTAATTTTTAAAATTCTTTTCTTTTTACAAGATTTATTATTTTATTTTATTTATTTTGTAAAGATTTTATTTATTCACGAGAGACACAGAGAGAGATGCAGAGACATGAGCAGGCTCCCCACAGGGAGCCCAGTGCGGGGCTGGAGCCCAGGACCCCAGGATC